CTCAATAGGCCCCAAAAAAGCAGTTAACAAAATCCAGCATCCCTTTATGATTAAAATCCTCAGCAAAACTGGCACACAAGGGACATACCTTAAGTCATCTATGACAAAGCCACAGCCAACATTGTGCTGAACGGGGGAAAGTTGAAAGCATCTTCCCTGAGAACTGGAACAAGGTAAGGATGCCCACTTTCACCACTTCCATTCGACGAAGTACTAGAAGTCCTCGCCAGAGCAATGAAACGGAGAAAGAAATCAACTACGTCCAAATCGGAAAAGAGGAAATCGAACTATCATTGTTCGCTGATGATAAGGTCATATACCTAGAAAGGCTTAAAGACTCATCCGAAAGCTCCTAGATCTCATAAACGAATTCAGTAAAGTTTCAGGATACAAAATTAATGTACACAAATCAGCAACACTACTATACACCAATAGTGACCAAGCTGAGAATCAAATCAACAACTCAATCCCTTTTACAATAACTGCAAAAAACAGTAAAATACCTAAACAAGGAAATGAAAGACCTCTACAAGAAAAACTACAAAACTACTGAAAGAAATCACAGATGACACAAATAAATGGAAACATATCCCATGCTCATGGATGGGTAGAATCAATATTGTGAAAATGACCACACTGTCAAAAGCAATCTACACACTCAATGAAACTGCCATCAAAATACCATCATCATTCTTCACAGAACTAGAAAAAACATTCCTAAAATTCACATGGAACCAGAAAAGAGCCTGCACAGCCAAGGCAAGACTAAGCAATAAGAACAAATGTGGAGGCATCACACTACCCAACTTCAAACTACACAACAAGGCTATAGTCGCCAAAACCAATCGTGGTACTGGTATAAAAATAGGCACACAGACGAATGGAACAGAACAGAGAACCCAGAAATGAAGCCAGATACTCGCAGTCAACTGATCTTCCACAAAGCAATCAAAAACATAAAGCAGGGAAAGGACACCCGATTCAACAAATGGTGCTGGGATAACTGGCAGGCCACGTGTGAAAAATTCATCTCTCACCTTACACAAAAATCAACTCAAGATGGATCAAAGACTTAAATCTAAGACTTGAAACCATAAAAATTCTACAAGATAACACTGGAAAAACTCTTCTAGACACTGGCTTAGGCAAAGACTTCATGAACAACAATCCAAAAGCAAATGCAACAAAAAGATAAATAGATGGGACTTAATTAAACTAAAAAGTTTCTGCACGGCAGAAGAAACAATCAGAAGAGTAAACAGACAACCTACAGAATGGGAGAAAATATCCACAAACTATGCATCTGATAAAGGACTAATATCCAGAATCTACGAGGAATTCAAATCATCTAGTGAAAAACAAATAAATCAAAGAGTGGGCTAAGGACATGAATAGACAATTCTCAAAAGAAGATATACAAATGGCCAACAAACATATTAAAGCTCAACAATGGCCAGGTGTGGTCGCTCACACCTGTAATCCCAGCACTCTGGGAGGCCGAGGAGGGCAGATCGCCTGAGGTCAGGAGTTCAAGACCAGCCTGACCAACATGGTGAAACCCTGTCTCGACTAAAAATGCAAAAATTAGCAGGGTGTGGTGGCAGATACCTGTAATCCCAGCTACTCAGGAGGCTGAAGTAGGAGAATTGCTTGAACCCAGGAGACGGAGGTTGCAGTGAGCCAAGACTGTGTCACCGCACTCCAGCCTGGGCAACAGAACGAGACTCCATCTCAAAAAAAAAAAGCTCAACATCACTAATTACCACGGAAATGCAAATCAAAACCACAATGCAATATTTAAAAATCAAAAACTAATAGATAGTGGCATGGATGTGGTGAAAAGGGAACACTTTTACACTGCTGGTGGGAATGTAAACTAGTACAACCACTATGGAAAACAGTATGGAGATTCCCTAAAGAACGAAAAGTAGATCTACCATTGATCCAGCAATCCCACTGCCGGCATCGACCCAGAGGAAAAGAAGGCATTGTACGAAAAAGACACTTGCACAGGCATGTTTATAACAGCACAATTCACAATTCCTAAAAATACGGAACCAGCCCAAATACCCATCAATCAACAAGTGGATAAAGAAAATGTGGTGTGTGTGTGTGTATATATATATATATACACCACAAAATTCTACTCAGCCATAAAAAGGAACGAAATAATGGCATTCACAACAATCTGGATGGAGCTGAAGACCATTATTCTAAGTGAAGTAACTTAGGAATGGAAAACCAAACATTGCATATTCTCACTTACAAGTGGGAACTAAGCCATGAGGATGCAAAGGCATAAGAAAGATACAATGGACTGTGGGGAGTCAAGGGGACGTGGCAGTGGGTGAGGGATGAAAGACTACACATTGGGTACGGTGTCCACTGTTCAGGTGATGGGTGCACCAAAATCTCAGAAATCACCACTGAAGAACTTATCCATGTAACCAGATACCACCTGTTCTCCAAAAACTATTGAAACAAAAAATAACAATAAAAAAAGTTTAAGTGTTAACTCATTTTATTTAGATGGATACTTTCTTGATGTATCTATCAATTCTAACACAAAAGCAAGCACTGTACTTCAGTGGCAGAGAACTAACAGCATTCTCATGCAGATCAGGTATAATCTTAAGACGTCCACGACCATGCAGTGTGGTTTCATGTGCACTGGTACACATCCGTAGAAAAGAGAGGAAATGGGGACATACATTAAAATTCAACACTGGAAAATAAGCGTTGTTTAGAAATGGTATCACTACATATTTGGAAAAGCCAAAAGAATAAACTAAAAAAAAAAAAAAAAATCCAAACCTTTAAGAGAATTCAGTATGATGACTACGTACAAAACTGATATACAGAAATCACAAGCCTTCATGTGTACAAAAAAACAAGCAGTTAGAAGATATAATGAAAACTATAACACTTTGTAACAAAAAGAAAACCTAGGAATAAGCTGAATAAATGTATAAAATCTATATGAAGGAAACATTAAAACATTTCTGAGAAACAAAAAATGAATTCACGGTAAGATATACCTGACTCTTGTCAATTCTCCATAAATTAGTAACTACATATTTTACGTAATACCAATAAAAAACACAACAGAAAGGCAGGAGATGATAAAAGCTGACTCTAAATTTCAAATAGAAAAACAGCCAAGAAAAAAAAAGCTAGGGCACTTCTGAAAAAGAAAAGTACCCTGGAAGGAATTAGCTATTAACATATATCACAAAAACACAAAAATGAAAGTAATGTTAATGGATACACAGATCAGTATCACTAGAAAATAAGAAACATTCTAAAATATAACTTTTGTAATATGTCACAAAATCCAGAAGTCTTAAAACATTCACTTTAAGATGTCTGAACACACACACACACACACACACACACACACACACACACACACACACACAGAGTCAAAAGCCAAACACAGCTAGGAGCAGTGGTCTTGGGAGGCCGAGATGGGAAGATGGCTTGGGGCCAGGAGTTTGAGACCAGCCTGGACGACATCTTTCTTTAAAAAGAAAAAAAAGCGCAGGGGCTGGGTGCAGTGGCTCACACCTGTAATCCCAGTACTTTGGGAGGCCAAGGTGGGTGGCTCCCTTGAGGCCAGAGAATTCAAAACCAGCCTGGCCAACATGGTGGTAAAATCCCATCTCTACTAAAAATACAAAAAATTAACCAGATATGGTGGTGGGCACCTGCAGTCCCAGCTACTTGGCAGGCTGAGGCAGGGGAATCACTTGAACCCAGGACGCAGAGGTTGCACTGAGCCGAGATCATGTCACTGCACTCCAGTCCGGGTGACAAAGTGAGACTCCACCTCAATAAATAAGCCAAACAGGAAGAAATGTTTAGAACTCACATCAGACAAAAGAGCTAATGTTTAAACTGGGACGCAATTTCTACAAATCAACTTTTAAAAAAAGCAGAAAAGAACTCAGAATAAAAATGGGTAAAGCATATAATCAAATAACAGAAAATACAAAGGATTTTAAATATAAAAATAGTTCAACTTTTCTTACAATGAAAGAACTGCAACTACACTGACAGTGTTTTCTCACCTATCAGATTGCCAAAAAGTAAAAAAGTATTTTAACACACTCTGTAGACAACTATGCGGGAATATATCGCTTTCATCACCGATAGGAGAAATGAAACTTGGTACAATCTCTTTAAGGCTACTTGGCAAAATCCATCAAAATTATAAATGCATATCCTTTCACTCAGCAGTTCAAGGACTTTATCCTAGAAATATGCTTGACTTGACATATGTATAAACTAAATATGTACAATGCTTTTTACTATAGAATCATTTTATGTAAAGGTAGAAATTTTTAGCCAAATAAATGTCCATCAGTAGAAATTTTGCTAATTATAGTATATCCATACAACGTTATTAGTAACAACAATGAAGAAACCCTTGGAAAGAATACCAAAATATATTAACTGAAAAAAGGAGAAACAACAAGTAGCAAGGAACAGTAAGATTTGTACTGAAATACACAAACACACACATTTTTGGGCTCATATATGAACGACGTGTTTGTCTGGATGCCCCTGGTCTGGGCTTAAAATTGTCATCTTATTAAACACATAAATGAAGTTGTACCATCCCAAGTCCATGTACTAAACCAATTTAGTACAGTTTCAATGAAAGACAGAAGGGGAAAAAGAATGTCAGTTCACACACTCTGGCAATTTACAAGGCACTTTTGAGAAACAGCATGAAAAGCACTACTGGAAGATACTAACCATGTTTCAGTTTTTAAAAACTGAATATGCAATTTTCAGTTCTTTAAATTTTAAAAAACTGAATATGAAACAGCAATCTTAACAATCTACCTACTGCAGCAACAGTTCCAAATTACTAATCACAAAAACATAAATTGAAGAATGAGCAAGAAACTCTGACAGCATTTAGATATAACTTAGTGGTAGGTGTGAGGACGTATGAGGAATGGGCCACTGAACTCAGAAGACCTGCACCCTACCTTCTTCTGAAGAACGTTAACCTTCCGCTCCTTCACATCCAACATGTCCTTGAGGTCGTGGATCTCTCCAGCTTGCGTCCCCTTCTCTTCGGCCATATCCTGAATCTGCTTCGTCTTTTTATTCAACATGGTTTCCTTCTCTTCCAAACGCAACCGGAGAGCGTCCACCTAAGAATGTAAGAGTTTTACAAGTGATGAATTAAAAAGAAAAGAATGTAATTCCTTTCAAATAGATATGTTATAAAGGTTATAAAGAGGTTGAGTTTTGTTACCCTATAGAAGTAAGTATCATCTACATCTATGTTTCTCTGGATTCAGAGTCCAGCGTGCTCACCATTACACAACGGAACCTCTACAACTATGTTTCTGAAACTTCATGTGCACCAGAATCATCTGGAGGCCTAAATCAAGTCCGTCGTTTCTGATTCAACAGCGCTGGGGTTCAAAATGAGTATTTCTAACAAGTTCCCAAATGAAGCTACACTGCTTTAGAAAATCTAAAACTAGGAAAAGGGAAAAAAAGCATCACCAAGCATAACACTGGCTATCTCAGATAATACAATCTAGTATGAGAAACAACCCCATAATGCACTTAGATATCCATACAAAGCAAAAGCAAAGGTCTACTTTTAGATGGCAAGACTAACCAGCTAAAAAGTTTGGTAACTAGTTACCTTTATCCCTGAAGTTTAATGCCTTTCATTAGATATAACTTTAAAATAACAAGAAATCTAATGACATTTATTTTAAAATCCATTCACAGAAAATTTTATTAAGCTTTTAGCACCCCATACATATTCACACACCAAATTTGCTTTTTGCTTTTCCACCCAAGGATTAATAACAAATAAACATTTGATTATAGAAAAAGAAGGAAGTGGATTTCTTTTATCTAAGATTCAGGGCTGTTCACCAGGAAAACAGTGAGTCATATTTTCAAGCCGAAAATTGTTAATAAGCTGTTTTACATTCTTTTTTCATTATTGTCATTTCAAACATATAATCCATACAAAAAACTATTAATGAACTATGTTATATTTTTTCATAATAACTCTTTGATAGTTAATGTATATTTCACCTTTATATCACATCTCGATTTGGGCTAGCCACATTGCAAGTACTTAACAGCCACAAATGGCTGGTGGCTACCACAGAGAACAGTGCAAATCTAAGAAATCAAGTATGGTTCTACGGTCTCTCATCTTTAACTTGTCTTATCTTATTTTTCCTATCTGAACGTGGGTTAAACCACAAAGAAAATATGAATAATGTTTCATATTTAGGGTACATCAAAGCACTCAGGAAGATCTAATACAGGTTGACCATCCCAAAATCTGAAAATCCAAAATCCAAAATGCTCCAAACTCTAGAACTTTTTCAGCACTGACATGACACTTAGGAAATGTTCAATGGAACATTTTGGATTTTCGGATTAAGAATGCTCAACCAGTAAGCATAAGTGTAAGGCAAATATTCCCAAACTCAAACTCGGAAACACTCCCAGTCCCATGCATTTTAGGTAAGGGATATCCAATGTGTGGTGTATTTAAACTACAAGGTATCTGAGAACCAATACTGTGTGTATGGTGGTACTTCCTGCTCAGTTAAGGAGCATGGAAAATTTCTTAACAAAACTCAGTCTCACTGGAGATTGCTATAATACGTACTTGCTACTACTGTAAGTACTTACAAGTCATGTTGGACCATACCGGAAAGGAAAAACATGTAGGTAAGCCATATTTCACTCTGCTAAACTACATTTCTACCAACTACTTCTTTCATTTTTATTTTTGAGACGGAGTCTCGCTCTCTTGCCCAGGCTGGAGTGCAGTGGCGCGATCTCAGCTCACTGCAAGCTCCGCCTCCTGGGTTCATGCCATTCTCCTGCCTCAGCCTCCCCAGTAGCTGGGACTACAAGCGCCGCCACCACGCCCGGCTAATTTTTTGTATTTTTAGTAGAGACAGGGTTTCACCATGTTAGCCAGGATGGTCTCGATCTCCCGACCTCGTGACCTGCCTGCCTCGGCCTCCCAAAGTGCTGGGATTACAGGCGTGAGCCACCGTACCTGGTCTCTACCAACTACTTCTATGCAACCAGTCTCACCAAGTCAGAAAGTAAAGAACAATCATTTGAGCTCCCATTTGTAGTTATTCACCACAAGTTCCACCATGCTCCTTCAAAAGACTCCTTCATCGGTAATTTACCTCTATTCTACTTTAATAAATATACATAGTTAATTGAAATATAATCTGGAAAGATCTACCTGAGAACTTTCAAACCCTAAAAAAATTTTTTCTGAATCACGAATACTATTCTTTTCTTTCTCCTACACCTACTAAATCTACCTTTGTCCACAGCATTACCTCTGATCTATCATACCTTCTTATTCTGTCATTCGTCTCTATTCTGTTTTTTGTTTTGTTTTGTTTTCCTCCCAGCTTAAGCAATGATTTCAGTCTCATATCAACTCCTTAAAAAAAGAAAATCATACCTGTTTTACTTTACTACTTTATTTCTGAATTAAAGAGTCTTCTGGGCCTTCCTGCATGTGTTCATGTGTATTTTTGTCACCATATACAGTAATCCCCCCTTATCATCAAGGAATATAATCCAAGACCCCCAGTGGATGCCTGAAACCACAGACACTATCAAACCCTACACACACTCTGTCTTTCCTCTATATACATACCTATTACATAATAAAATTTAATTTACAAATGAGTCACAGCAAGAGATTAACAACAATAACTAGTAACAAAATAGAACAATTTTAACAGTATGCCAGCATCATTACTCTTGTGCTTTGGGGTCATTATTAAATAAAATAAGGGTTATGTGAACACAAGCACTGAGATACTGCAACAGTCGATCTAACAACTGAGACAGCTACTGAGTGACTAAGGGGCAGGTAGTGTGGATACATGGATACACTGGACACAAGGAAGATTCACCTCCAGGGTAGAATACAGCAGAATGCCACAAGATTTCATCACACTACTTAGAAAAAAAGCATAAATTTAAAATCTGTAAGCTGTTCCTTTCTGGAATTTTCCATTCAATATTTTCAGACCACAATTGACCACAGGTAACAGAAACCAAGGAAAGCACAAAAGCAGTTAAGGGAGGACTACTGTATATACATTAAAATCCTCACAGTTCTCAGGTATCGTATTTTCTTCCCTTGCATTCTCCCTGTGGAAAATTTCACTCTCTCTCATGGCAATGTGGGAAACTGGGCCATAGAGAAGACAGCAGGCCCAAGATCTCACAGCTACAAATTAGCAACAGAGCAGAGATTTAAGATTAAGCGGTCTTGCCTCCAGATCCCACACTCTGAACCACTAATTTTCTAATACCACCCTAACCCACAGGAGCCCAGCAGGGAATTCGAGGCCCTCCATGGTCAGACAGGCCCAATGCACCCGCACTGCCTAACCTTTGCCATATGCCCCTTTGCCCCACTTCCAGTGGCTCTCTGTTCCAGCAGTACTGCCATTCTCTGAATAAATACCATCCTTTCTTGTCATTGTTCATCTTGTCCTATGCTTGTAATATCCTTAACCCCTACCACTTACAAACAATTCTGCCTGTTGAACACATCTTTCAAGACCCTCTTCCTATGCTGCCATTTTAATAAATACGTTCCAATCCCCCAACAGACAAGTGCTGTCACCCTCATCCTTTCCCAGGGTATTTTGTTATATAATTTAACACTTTTTTTCCTCTTATAGAACTTAGTAACATTATCATACAGAACTTACCAATATTTCTATACTTAATCAAAGTAATATTTTAATTTCAAAAACCTGTATTTTCCCCCTAAAATAGTAAGAAGAATATAATTGTTTTAAGTTTTTGCAAATCTCTTTAATATCTGGCTTATAACCAAGCAGGGGGTGCACAAGACTAGCTTTAGAATAAATGCAATTTTGGTACCATCTAACAAAGCTTAAATGAGAGACCCAAAAGAATGAAACTATTTCCAAGTATTTTACCCACATCACAAAACAAAGTTCAGTAATATTTACAGGAATACAAAATGCCTAGCACCCAACAAGGTAAAACTCACAATGCTCGGCATCCAATCCAAACTCACCAGACATGCAAAGAAGCAGAAAAACACAACTCATAATAAGGACAAAAAGCATTCAATGAAAACTGAAATCAGAAATAACACAGATTATGGTATGATCTCACTTACATATGGAATCTAAAAGAAAGTTGAACTCAAAGAAGCAGAATAGAATGGTGGTTACCAGGGGCGGGGGATAGGAACAGGGAGAGGAATGAGGAGGCGCTGATCAAAGCGTACAAACCCTCAGTTATGAAATGAGTAAGTTCTGGGGATCGAACATACAGCAGCGTGTAATTAATAATGCTGTATTATAGAGTTGAAATTTGCTAAGAGAGTAAAAATCACAACACTCCACCACGCAAACAAAAAAGGTCCAAAAGGGAAGTGTCAGAAGAGACTGAACATTGATTCCGTTAAAAAAAAAAAGCACTGCAACCACAGAGTAAAGACCTTAGTGGAATATGAAATTCAGCAACCAGGCTGTTCAAGATGCCAAAGAACGCACGGACCCTTATCCACTGGCACTCAGGCACAGCTCAAGCCAGTCAGTGCCGCTACTAATCCTACTTGACAGTATCAGATTTGGTTCCTATTAGCTGAACCCATTACAGGGCATCAGTGATGGTAAAGGCGCTTACCGAATCTGGTGACCCTTCTACACAGTTAAGGAACTCAAAGCCTTAGAAAAGTATACATGTCAGAAATTTGAAAAATAAATAAATCACATGATCATTTGTATCTAATTACTACACGTTAATCTGTATTTTGTATACTATACATTATTCTACTACTACCTCTAACCAAAAGCAAAAAACAAAGCAACTCATTAAAAAAAAAAAAAAAAAAAAAAAAAGCTGGCCGGGCACGGTAGCTCATGCTTGTAATCCCAGCACTTTGGGAGGCTGAGGTGAGCGGATCACTTGAGGTCAGAAGTTCAAGACCAGCCTGACCAACAATGTAAAATCCCATCTCTACTAAAAATACAAAAAAATTAGTCAGGCGTGGTGGTGTATGCCTGTAGTCCCAGCTACTCAGGAGGCTGAAGCAGGAGAATCACTTGAACCCAGGAGGCGGAGGTTGCAGTGAGCCGAG